TATGTTATTTATTTATTAAATTTTAAACGGGTCAGGCCCGATAACAACGTTCTACAATACAATCGTTCATAGAAAATAATAAATTTACAAAAATTAGATGAAAATAATATACAATGTAATAATACTTATAGCTATGTGTTACAAAGAATAGAACTACAATAAATTTTAAATAAGTTAAACTTTGGTGATATAAACTGATCTATTTTTAACTCATTTATAGTTTTCATTATTGTGTTAAGATGAGTATTGCTAGCATAATTAGTTACTTCTGTGTTTAAATAAAATTTATCTTTAGTCCGGGTATTACGAGTAGGGGTGTGAAAAGAGAAATAACTTAAAAAATAAGACAGTCAAAACTGCCTGCGAATAGCTTATACATATATAATGTATTATTTATGTACCATTCATAGAGCGTATTTAAATCAAATTGTAGTAAATCTGCTTCAACTTGATTGTTAACGGTTCGGAATTATTTGAGATCATCAGCAAACATTAATTTAGCGCAGTTGTTAAGCTGAATGTCATTAATGAATATAATAAATAACATTGGGGCTAAATGGGAACCTTGAGGAACTCCTGATGTGAAACGTATTGGAATGGACCAAATGTCTTTATAAGCTACAATTTGATGACGATATCTTTTATGTTATCTTTATATTTTTATTATTAAACAATTCATTTTGGCTTCGATGCAAAGCTGAGATGGTATTGATTTTACTATGATTTGTTTTTTTTTTAGCTTTGATGAGAATCTGAGAAGGTATTTTATTACTATGATATAATTTTTATTTTTATAGATGCTTGATGTCTTTACCTATCATTTGATATATTTTTTATATTTCTTTCTACTTATAATATACATATATATCATACATACTGTATAAAAAAAAAATTTAAAGAAATGTTAAGCTCACTTGAGACCTACTAGAAATATACCATATAATGACGGTAATTATGATATCCACACTATCAATTTTAGACTTAAAATTTTGAAACTAAAAAATTTGTATTTTACAGTAAAAGTAAAACATTGGAGTCTGAGTGCATGGACATTATGTCCACCTCGATAATAACTAAAACTAAAAACTAAGTGCCTAGACACCACAAATTGGATGTGATGAAATAAACAAAGAAGTGTTTTGAAAAGAGATGGATGAGTTAATGTAAGGAATACCTAGTAATAAGAATACGGCGATAGGCCGAAATGTATTTGTGACTAGTTTTAATAATAAAATTAATGATATTAACAATAAATAACTCGCATAAATGCAGATGAAAGGTAGTACGCACTGGTCAGTTTCAAATACTTGAAACTAATTATACAGAGTGTTCAGTAAGTAATTCAATTCCAGTCACAAACAAAAACTAACTAAAAAAGTACAAATATTATTAAACCTAATGTTATATTGGAAGGGAAGGAAGAAAGAATGCATTTCTACTTAGTTGGTCGGACTGGAGTAGGTACCAAAGTTGCAACTAGAGCGCGCCACATAATTGATTCTAAACTAAATAACTATAGTCAGGGACGTCATTTAAATTTTTGGTACATAATAGGACCAGACAGTGTTTCTAAACGCAATTTTAAAAAGACAAAATTAATATAATTAAATCAAAATTTCTCCTTTTGAGTAGGAAAAAAGATTGATAATTAAGGTTTTATTATAAGCTCAATTCTTCAAACTAGCATAAGCATTGAAAAAATATATTTTATTTATATCAAAACTGTAAAATAAAGCAAAGTCATTTTCTGAAAATGGTTTTTTTAGTATAAAATTAGTTTAGTAATTGTATTATGAGAGATAAATCGTGAAGGAGAAGCGACTTTGTGAAAATGATTTGGCGGACAAAAATTTGTCATAGTCTAGTATAATCTGATATAATGCTTTTGACTATAGATCACCCAGCCGTGCTCACCTTCTCAGATCAGCCGCTGCTTTGCCTACGCCATACGGTGACCAAAACGTACACCCCTTGCAGGGGGGGAGTAATAAGTAGTAAGTAAGTTAATCTATCGACTTGCGGTTGACGACAATCTGTTACGATACCATCTGTAAGTAATCTTCCGACATTGAACAGTCATGTTGTACGTATGTCGACGTTCCGACACCGAGAAGACTTAATTTTTTTTCATTTTATCTTTTACTAAAAAATATCATGACAACCAATTGTGACTGTGATAATATACCCGTCAACCATTTAATTGAATTCCTTATTTACTGTATTTATGTTTTGCTATAAATAAACGGGCCAACGTCCATATCGAATATCGAACTGTTTTAAACTACTTTTTTTTGTTTTGCATTGCCGTCAGCACTGTAGTGTTGCAACAATAATCATACATATTTCTTTTGATTAAATCTATACCAAGACAAACTAATAAACGGGAATTAAATTAAGAGGTTAACATGATTCACTATCATATACAGTTTCAAAAAGTGGCAAAAGACTACTTTTATATTGCATATAATTTTATTGAATATAACGTTTTAACTGAATATATTATTGTTAAAAAAAAAAAAAATACGCTATAAATAGCATAATTTTAACACATATTTTTCGTTGATTTTAAAATAACAATTGACTTTGTGTATTTATGTTTAAAATTATTGAGACCTATTTAAAATTCAAAGACAAATATTGGTAAAATATAAATCTATAAATAACATGAAAACACCTTTTTTTAATGCATATAAATTATTAGTAAAAAAATGTGTCATAAGTTAATTTTCCGATCAATTAAACTTTATCTCTTCTATTATCATAGCTATAATGAAATAGAAAAAAATAGGTTTCTAATTATCTTAATTTTCTACATTAAATTTTGTTGTTTTAATATTAAGTATATTTTCATTACGTAAAAAAATAGAATCGTTTGTACCATTGGATAATCAACTACCCATCTAAGGGCAACATCCTCTCAATAAATTAATATCATAGTAGTGAAAAGTGAATTTCTCTAATATTCTACGTTCACATGTTTTTCCTGATTATAAAAGCAATGAAGTAACAATATTTAAACAAAGAATTTTTTTAAGATATAAAAGAAGTCTATTCAATTTATTAACTCTTGACAAAATTTTACTTTTTATGTTTATAATAAATCGACATTATTACTAAATTGACGATGTTTAAAAATAAATAAATAGCAGATAAGGACTGATATTATATCATTTTTACTTACTTTATCATAGAATCATAATTATCTTAAAATATCTACATCTATCAACAAATGTAGACCCAAATATTTACGAGAGGCCCTTTCTTTATTAAAAATTCATTTTTTGGTATCTCATCAGGTATATTTATATTAGGGTATATTAGGGAAATTAATATTAAATATATATGTGTGTATTTGACCCGGTATTATCTTTTACTTTGAGAAGGCTAATTAAGCAATTAAGCAATTGTATATTTTCTTATTATCATTTATTGATATTTTTAAGTGGAACAGAGTTAATAATTTTAAGATAATAAAGTGTACATAATGGTAGAACTATTGAGAACTATCTTACTGAAGTTACTTATTTAAATTAGCTTATGCAAATTTGAACAGTTAATAATTTTATTCAAACAATTCAGTCTATTATACTGCGAATATTGTTGTTATAGATAGAAAATTGTTAATAAGGTAAAATCTCGGATTAATAAAGTTAGTAATAAGGTATTTAATTTTTTAAATAAAACTTTTTATGTATTGCATTAACATAAGTAGTTAAACAAGCTCCTAAGATTTTCTACAGTTAAACTATATAAATTATTACCTTGTTAAAATGCATATTTTTAATACAGTTTATACAATAGAAATAATTTAAATTAAGCACGTGGAAGAATAGGTTTTATAAATTATTAAGTGTTTCTCTTTTAGGCCGGCAAGCAATGATTTCTAAAATGTGTTGTTTTCGAATCGTTCAATTTCTTATTTTATTTCAAATTTATCAAATATCTAATGCGAAAAATTCAAGTCGTAATATTCCAACTTCAATTAAGCACATGCCTGATGCACAGTTATCAATACTTGATGTAATAACCAGTTTTTTTTTCGATATTCGACGGCTAGATTCTTATAGCAAGTCAGATGTGAAGTTCATAGCTTTCTTAGCCAATAAGCCCGATGAACCTTTGGAAGCCAGCAGTGTAGTTTACGACCACATGAAGAAAGTAATATTTTATACACATGGCTTCAAAACTGCAGATTTGAACGATGGTGTAAATATGAAAAACGCTCTAATAGAAGGTGCAGATGACTTTGACTGCATAATACTAGTAGACTGGAGAAAAGGATCGTTGTATGGTAAAAATTATATAGCTTCTAAAGTTTTATTTTTTATGCAACATTTAATTTAAGACAATGGTTTTTGGCCAACCATAATGAAAACCGATTATGAGATTGCAGCCAACATTAATGTACCTATTGTAGCCAGAGCTATCGCTACATTTATTGATAAATACATATCCAGTAATGTCAAATTGCACCTAATTGGATTCAGCCTTGGCGGTCAGGTATCCGGTATGGCAGCTAGAACTCTAACAGAGAACACACAGAGAATTGTAGACCGTATCTCAGGTTGTATACAATTATATCGTAAACAATTATTTCATCTAATTATTTTAATAGGAAAATATACTAAGTCGTCTTTAGATGAAAATTATCTAACTTGAAGTTGTTTATTTTATAATAGAGAGTTATTAATATAAAAGCTACTAAGCAGACTAATCATATTACTTTGACAATGAGTGGGGTTGTAAATATTTTATATTAAACAGCTATGTAGAAACAGTATCCTCGCATCCCACAACTCTTTTATATTAACTAACATAAATGCATTACTGAGGATTAAGTCTAAGTATAAGTATATGTTAAAAAATATTTTCCAAATAGGGTCGATTGCCTTAGGTATGCCTAGTAATACAAATAATTGGACCCACACTTCCTCTTTAGTTAGAAATACTCGTTCAAAAGTTGTTAGAGTAGATCATATGTTTTTTTAACTAGATCATTTTTTTATTTGTGAGCTTATTAAATATGTTCTTTTTTAGTAATACGAATTGATATAATTTTAAAAATAAAAAGGAATTTTTTTTCTTTCAAATAATATAACGTTAGATTTTTTTAATTCTAAAATTGTCTAGTTCGAATGACTAAATAAATGTAATAAACTACTTTATATAGTTGAATCAACTATATAATTTATTATCCTACATACGTATAACTATTTAGTCGCTATATTATTTATAATATTCGCATGAGCAAACTATATCATTTTTCCATAGATCAATTGTTGTGAAAATATTATATATAGTGCCCAGACCTAACTGACAATGCTTATAACTTTTGATTCAATTGTCATTTTGTTTTAAAAATAGTTATTGCCTTCTTAGACTACGTTTAAGCTAATTTTTTAGATTCTCTGCGAAGCTGAGAAGGTATTAATTTTACTATCATGTGTTTATTTTTTAATTTTTTTTGTGTCTGTCACTACTTTTTCTTAGCTCTCACTGAGCCAATTTTTTTCAACGATACGTCAATCGATCACAAATTGTATCTAGTTGAAGACATTACTCTCAAAAATTAAAAAATTTTTACTAGTTTCCCGTAAATAATGGAAATCACCCAAAAAATTACTATTTTTAATATCAGTAAATTTCTACTATTTTTCACTTTTTTACTAAAAATTGCTATAAATTATTGAAAAATGAACATTTAAAAATAACTTCCCTAGATAGTGTTTTTGAGAAATTGGTGTATTATTCAAAAGCAAAAATAACTTTAAAAAGTTGAGATTTGTAAAAAAGATAAAGTTTTGTGAAAATATTACTATTTTGAATCTCCCCCTGTGAGCAGGTTAAATGTCAGATTTTCAAAAAAATGATATTGAATGAAAGGGAAATATCTAAAATTTCAATATAAAAAAAATTATGTTGATTCGTTTATTTTTCATAAAGTTATAGCAGTTTTAAGAAAAAATATTTACAAATTTACAAATTTTAAAAATAGTAATTTTGTGTGGAATTGGCGTCATTTACAGAGAACGAGGGAAAATTTTTTATTTTTTAGGGTAATGTCTTTAACTAGATACGATTTGTGATCTTTTGACGTATCGTTAAGAAAAAGTAGTGACAGAAACAAAAAAAAAAATATAAAAAAATAAACACATTATGGTAATTAATACCTTCTCATCTTCACAACGAAGCTAAAAATAGAACAGTGTGGTCGCAGTAGAGTTGGAACAAGTATAGATAATATATCTGACAGTGATTAATATAACTATCATTAAAAACACTTCAATAGGAGTTTGTTAAATTTTACAATAATATGTACACTTATTATTTCACAATTTCTATGTTTTAAAATTTCACTCAAACATTAAATGTCTGTTAAATTGTTTGCATATTTAAAAATAAGGTTTTTTTTTTTGACTGCCGATTTCTCATAGAAGAATAATTGTGAGATAGAATTACATTAATGTAATTTTGAAACACTGTTTGTTAAAAACACCGTAAATTTCAAAATTTACATTGGTCTTATGGGACGTTTTAAATTGTTTCTTTAAGTTATAAACAGATTTTTTTTTCTAAAACATGTATTTTAAATAAACAAGTTTATTCTTCTAATATACGCAAATTTCATAATACCTAATTATTTTATTTAATATACATTTATTTATTGTGTTATAGCTCTTGACCCTGCTGGACCAATTTTTGAATACTCTTTAAACACCTTTGAGGTAAATACAAATAACACCTTACGGAAAACAGATGCAAAGTTTGTTGATGTTATTCATGGTAGTAGAGTATTAGGGATGATAAATGAAGCTGGCCACTTAGATATGTACATGGATGAAGTAGAATGTTGGCTTCCAATTTGCACGCACTCCAAAACTGTCCTCGTATACATTGCCTCGATTAACAAATGTTCACAAATAACTTGTCCGACTGACGAATTTTCGAACTCTTTAGAGTGTAAAGCTCAAAATTCCAATGAATTAGCTAGTGCAGGATATTTAGCTGAGAAATACAGAGGTCGTGGGAAACATATTGTTACCTTTTACTTGAAATACTTCTCGTGGACGTGGCTTAAATACTCAACGGGTCATTGTTCCTCTATTTTAAACGTAAATCTACCGGCCAAATTTAGAATTTGCAAACATCCACCTAACAATGCATTGGAATGTATTAACCAACCATTTTTAACTGAATGTTTCGAGAATAAAGACTATCCAAAATCGATTTGCACAATAAATGGAACTATATTACACACAATGGAAGGAATGAAACTTGTCGAAACTGAGGATCTAGAACCACCTAGAGTGACTTGGGCTCAAACCTATTTACCTACCAAAGAAAATAATGAGTGAATTCATAAAATGTATATTTAAATTTTATTACTTAAATAGAACAATTCAAAACATAATACTATTTCATTAAATATTAAGAAAAAAATGTATACAAAATTGTACATATTTTTAACTATTTTACACATACAAAGATGATTTTTATAAAAAAAAAAATTATTAAAATATTATCATTTAAATTTAGAACTGTTGACCAAAATTAATACATTCCTTTCTAAAAAATTTATAATACCCAACTGATTACTTGATACTTTAAATTAACTAATAATTATTTTTTAATAAATTTTTAAAATTATGAAATGTGCATACATTTTGAATCAACGAAATGTTATAATAAACATGAGTCATATTACGGGAAATATTAACATATTATCTAAAGTACAAAGTAAAAAATATAATTAACCTCCATAGAGTTTTAATTAGTTGAAAACAGTTGTTATTAAGTTTTTAATATAGTCAGACACATTTCTATTATAATTCACTATAGTAGATTTGTTAATAATAAAACTACTTAAGTCGTTCTTTTATTAATTATCAAATAACTAAACTTCTTTGTTTTATTAGATATTATCATAGTTGCATTAGATTAAATATATTTATCACGTTTTAACTACATTTCAAAATTCTTTTTCGAGAAACATAAATATTAACTTGGTGTTAAGGTATGTATTTTGCATGTATTTTTATGGCATATATGTTTATTAATGATACTTTGAATATTGTAATTAGAATAACTACTTTATTATAAAAGAAATAACATTTCATCTTAACAATTTTTTTTTAAATAAAATCAAAAAAATATTATTTATTTAATGAAATTTCAAAAAATATTTAATAATTTGATTAGTATTTATTTTACAAGCATTATTGCTTTTACCACTAGTTAATAATTGGTAAAATAATGATAATAACAATCATAGAAGTAGTAGGAAAATAGAAAAATATCTAAAACCGTATTTCTAAATTATATATAATTTAAATGGTACAATTTAAAATTTAGTTTTTTTATGAAGAATAATTTTTTAGAAGACAGTTAAGCCAGTGTAATCCATTATGATTAATTTCATGTTGCAATTATTGTAAATATCTTCCTTAAAATTGTTTATACATAATTTATTAAACATTTTGTAACTTCAAATTTTATTCGAAATATTTTTTTTTTGGAGTAAATTAATTTTTTCCGTATATTTATATGCTTTCTATTTTATAAAAGAATATTATGTATTTGTGTTTTTTTATATCAAACAGGAGGGTATCACACTATCATACTTGGAAAATTGTAATCGTTTTAATAGATATTTGTTAATATAAGTTTTGAATACTATCAAACAATAGTTATTTAAAAAAATGGTCGTACAATTTAAAGAGTATTGTGTCTAGTGGAAAAAATGTATTATTTAACCTCCCCCTTTTTTTTAGCTTGAGGACAGGCAATGTAACCTAAGGTTATGCAACTACTATATTGAATTTTTTTAATTTAAGTTACATCAGTAAATACACAACGATGTCATAAATTTATTATTGTTAGATTTATTTTTATTGAAATACGCGTTTCATAGTGCAAAACATCGTGTTTATTTAAATTTTATTATGAAAATTCTGATTGTTTATCAATAGTTATATGATAATTATTTCTTCGAGTAAAAAATTGAGATTATTATCAACATTTTTTTTTTCTATTTGTAATTATTAAAAAATATTTTTTGTTTATCTTAATGAATTATTGGTTATTTTTTGTAGAAATGGTTATCTTTAAACTAAATTGCATCAAGCTATTCGCTTGCACTCTACTTGTTCAAATCAATGTTATATCAGCAATTAAGACATTCACCAATAATAATACATACTGGGAAACAAACAGAGTCATCGACTGCAATAAACAAAAATTAGATCCAATGTTACTGTGTAATGCCAAAGTTAACTGTCTTGATGGAAGTGATGAAATAAATTGTAAAGAATGTAAACCCAATGCATTTCATTGTGACAACGATATTTGTATTAAATTTTACTTAAGATGTGATGGATATAATGATTGTGGAGATGAATCAGATGAAAAAAATTGTGAAGGATTTATTTCTCCATTAAATTCATCTAACCATAACGTGCCAATTGAAATTGAATATTTACCTGATGATCGTTTTTCAATTAAACCATTTTTTAACAATTTATTTCATAAAAAAAATAACACTAGAAGTATCAAATAAAATTTCTAAAATAATAATAAATTGAAATTAATTAAAAATTTAATTACATCTAGTCATATTCAAATTTACTGATCAAACTACAATGATCTTATTGTATATATATCATATAAAAAACTACAAAATTAGTGTATGAAAATATTGAAGGTCAATTTTATACCAATACATTTTAAATAAATAATTTTTTAATTAAAATGTAATTATTATTAATAAAATTATAATTATAATTTTATGAATTAATTGAATAATACAGCATTTTTTTGTATGACTTAAGGCTTTTTCTCGTCATATTTTATAATACATTTTTTATTTTTAGAATTATTTTATTAAAAATAAATATGTTTAACGTATATATTACTTAGATCACTAATGTTCTAAAATTACATAACTCTCACATTTACAAATAAACTATTTTAATAATTAGGCTTACCAAGTAACACATCTAATTATAACTGGATGTCAATAAAAATTTGACATTGATTGGATACATTATTACTTGTTGACATTTTCTAGCAAAATTATACAAGAGACCCTAGTTATTGACACCTTTTAAAAATTTCCCTTTCTTTTTGTTTAATTTTTTAAACATATTGATATATAATAAATAACAGTTGTGATAATTTGATGTATCGTTAAAAAAGTTGGTCAAGCGAGAGCTGAGAAAGTGAGACACAAAAAAAATTACATAAAAAAATAATTTTAATATAAATAAGAAATTTCTTCAAACGAGGGCAGACTACAGTGATGGGGTCCTTAATATACATTGAAGTTATTGAATCTAAATGAGATAAAAAATCAAATGAGTTAAAATTTTTTTTCTAACTTAAAAACTTTTGTTAGGTATTTTAAAATAATATAAAATACAAAATCTATAATCTTAAAACAAAAATATAAAAATTTACATTATGAAGACAAAATGAAGTTCAACATTTTCTTTCCATATTGAAGTACAATACATTACATCTACCGGCCAAATTTAGAATTTGTAAACATCCACCTAGCAATGCATCGGAACGTTTTAACCAATCATTTTTAACGGAATGTTTCAAGAATAAAGTTTTGCATAATAAATGGAACTATATTACAAAGAAATAGAAAAATGGAAAAAGAGTGAAGAATTTTTACAGAAATTTCGAAATATTGACTTTAAGTTAATAACTAATAGAAAAATAATTGTGGAAACGTTTCTTCGTCATAAGTACTCTTAATAATTTTGAGTTTGATATAGGTTCGAAGAACAGTTCGAAAACAGTTCTAGGTAATTTTGAATTTTAGCTGAACTATTATTAAAGATGAGAGTAATCAATGAAGAAATAAAAAGGGTGACTNGGTGACATCCAACATTTTCAAAAATGTACAGCCTTGGGGGGTTGTTTATTCAAATATTTCCTGTAATTGAGTTTATCATTGAATTTTGATAGAAAATCTGTCATAATCTATGTGAAATTCTTTTGATAAAAAAAAAAGCTTACTATTTCTAGTATACCCTATTAAAATTTTATTAGGTTTTGTGATTTAAAAAAAAATATATTAGTTTTTATATGCAGAATAAAATTGGGAAAATGCTATTTTTTACGGTATGAAACTTTGAAATATTTTTCTAAATTTCTAAATTGTACGGTTTTTGTTGAATTTGTGGTAATAATAGGTTTAACTATATTAAAATCACATTCTTTTGACGTAGTCATCATAAAAATTGGTACAGTGAGAGCTGATAATTGTCATGCATAGACATAAAAATCATAGTAAACCAATAACTTCTCATATAAGCATAGAAGCTAAAATCAAAAATAGAACTAAAAACTTATATTAATCAAATAGTTAATCAATTTTAATTGTACAGAATATAATATGAAATAAATTATCATCAAAAAAGATAAACAATCATAGTAAAAATTAATTCAAAACTTAATAAAGAATAAAAACAGTTCTAGGTAATTTTGAATTTTAGCTGAACTATTATTAAAGATGAGAGTAATCAATGAAGAAATAAAAAGGGTGACTTAATAAGCATTTTATTTCTTCAAATTTATTAATCAATTATTTATTGTGATAAACTTGCAATAAAATAATCAATTCAAGATGCTTAAAGTTGAAAAGCGCTATTAATTAAAAAAAGTTAAGTTGATAAAGTTAATTTTTTGTGAAAAAGTTGTCATTTTAAATGCCCCCCTGTGGGCAAATAAACGGTCAGATTTACAAAAAAAAATATACCAAATGATAAGTAAAGACATCAAGCATCTATATAAAAAAAACGGTATCATAGTGGGTTGGGCACAGTGTGGACGAGGCATAGATGGGACAAGTATAGATGATATCTGACAGTGATTAAAATCACTATCATAAGAAACGCTTCGATGCAAATCTGTAGATAGTGTTTCCTTTAGAGAAATTTGCGGAATATTCTAAGAGCAACATCAAATCTTATTCCTTTAATTATATCCTGATTAGTAGTTCTTTGATTTTAAAATATAATATATGAATAAATACTAATTATAGTTTTTAAATTTAGTATGAAATTGTGAGGCCAGCTATGATGTATGGTTCATAGTGTTGGGCGGTTGATAAGAAAGTAGAGCAGAGAATAAGTGTAGCAGAGATGAGAATGCTTAGTTGGATGAGTGGAGTGACTAGAGAAGATAGGATAAGGAACGAGCATATAAGAGGAAGTATAGGTGTTGCGTCAATCGTGGATAAGATGACAGAAAATAGACTTAGATTGTTTAGTCATGGTATGAGGAAAGAAGAATCGAAAGCTGTAAGAACAGTTATAGAAATGAATGTTGAAGGAAGAAGAGATAGAGGAAGACCAAAAAAGAGATGGAGGGATGCTATTGAATGCGATTTAATAAATTTACTTACTTCTTTTTTTCTTGTAAATTGCTGTGAGATGATTTGATAAATATTTCCATATGTATATATACAGTTATAGTTATTGTATTCGTGCTTCGTCACAAGATAAAAAATTAAAACAAATTCTTTTCGAATGTATGTAATCAAGACTCATAAAAAAATAATCGACAACAACACGGGGTTGTGGCTAACAATTATATTCTTATTTGAATTCGATGAAAGCGAACTCTCTGGGTTAAAAGGATTCAGTGCTTTTTATAGTGAATGATAGTACCCCTAATCCAGGGATATTGTTGTCAGCGCATTTAGTGATCTTTTTAGTTTAATGTATTTAATTATACATTACATGATTATTATATTGAGATAGCACATTTAACAATTGATAAATTGACATATATATAAATAATAAGAAATTGTGTTGAACAGTGTACATGTTATGACAGATAAGTTATTTGTTTGTTTACAAGTAATATAAAATACAGATTATAAATTTTTCATCGATAATCATCAATTAAATTATAATGCAATATACGTATATGCCAAGCTATTGGTCATATACGACAAATAATTTGAGCATAAATATAATATACTCATGTTTATTCTTCATCAGTTGGCGTATAAAACTACATTTAATGGATGTTTGACTTGTGTATAATTGTTTACCGAGACTTAACTTTGAATGATATTATATAATCAGTTAAAGTTAATGTCTCAGTGATTTATTGAATTTTAGTTTTTATAAACTCTAAAGTTAAATAAATAACATAACAAACATATCAAAGTAATATTAACATTTTAAGTATAATAATGAACATAGGAATATCTCGATTTATTATAGTATTAATTATTTAATTAAACAAACTTAAGTAAAACCCTTCTATTTCAAGTGTTTACAGATTAATTATTAGTGATTATACATTAGGAGTACTATTCATTCGTGGTATTTACTTGTTGCTTCAATGATACCTGCACATTAGTAGTTCAAATTGTACAGCTCCAAAATCGACATGTAGAATTGATAACTTTAAAAGTCTAGATAAGTGATAAAAACAAACGAGCATGTATTATTTTGCGTTATAGTCTATTATTATTATGTTTAATGATTGTATTTAATTTTAATTGTTATTTAATCTCTTGTTGTTTTTTTATTTTGAAAATGTAATTTTTTTTTAACACGTTATGTATATTTCTCGATTAACACGTCCACACTTGACATATTTTTTTCGTTTCTATTGTCAGTCGCATCATCTTCCTAAATATGATGTTCAGGATAAAATAATATTTAATTCTGTAATAGATGGTAAGAGAGCAGTTAAACATTGGCGGGATATCAGTCATAAGATAAAATCTAGAAAACTTTCAAGTCTTAAACGTGAAGTTGAACCTGTATCTTTACAATTTTTAAATAATAATAAAAATTATAATGAAGAAAATTTCGGAGATGCTAGAGATAAACCTCTAAAGCCATATAATTTACCCTTCAGTATTATGAATAAATATGATAAAAGTGATAATGATGTTCATGAAAGTAATACAATTGATCAAAATATCAACTATGATTGTAAGTTGAAAAAGTTATTATTTTTAATTTTGATGCAATGCTGAGAAGATATTAATTTTACTATGTTGCGTTTTTATTTTGTGTATGTTGTATGTATTTTTCTCAACTCGCATTTTACTGATTTACTTAATAATTTGTCAAATAAAGACAAATTGTATTTAGTTGAAGAAATTACCCATAAAATTTGAATAAATACCCATCTTTGTTCATTCTCATCTTCAATGTGAAAATGATTACCATAGTTAAATATGATATTTTTGATTAAAAATAGTTTTTGTATTGTTTTAATTTTCTTCTTTAATATTTTTCTATTGTTAATGTCTATACTTTAGATCAAGAAGTAGTTTTATATAGGATAGAGAAATAAATACTCCCATTACAATAACTACTCTTTTACAAAAAAAAAATTTTATAATATTTTAGTGTTAAATTATAAATATTTTTAACTACATCAAAAATCCATTAATCATTCAAATATTTGTTATAGTTAAAATTCTTATCCAAAATTTATAATTAATTTATACAAATTTTATTATAAATTAAAGGAGATATAGCTAAAAAGGACCTACGTTATTTAGATTCACAAAAAATTTACCAAGGGTCAATGCTGATTCATACAATTTAAAATATAATAAAATTAACCAAAATAAAGCACTAAAATTTCTTACATTTTTAAACTACGTAAAAGAAATATTTGTATTAAACTGAACTAAATACAATTTCTATACTAATAATTCACAACTTTCTTTAATAGATGAATTAAATCAACTGAGTACTAAAAAATGGATGAGTGATTATGAATGTTATGAAGAGCATGATTTAGAAAACGAAGATAATCTCCCTTTATGGACTTCTAACTATGGAACACCAGATCCATTAATAGATATTAGTGATGTCCCATGTGGTGGATGTGGTGCCTTATTGCATTGTCAAAATCCTTCTATACCAGGATATTTACCAAGTGAATTATTTTGTCATTGTGAATCAGCTGATTTAAAAACGATGATTTGTCAACGTTGTCACTTTATGCAAAAGTATAATACAGCTCTATCAGTACAAGTTGATCCAGTTGACTACCCAAAACTATTAGAACCATTGAAAAATAAACGGGCTTTAATAATCTTAATGGTTGACTTAACTGATTTTCCTTGCAGCATTTGGCCAAATATCTCTAATATTATTGGTAAAAGTAAACCAATTGTAGTGGTAGGAAATAAAATTGATTTATTGCCTGGAGATTGTGCAGGTTGGATAGGTAATACACAAAAAGCATTTGAAGAAAGTTTACCTATTGATTTGAATATTAAGCATGTAGCTGTAGTCAGTGCTAAAACTGGATTTGGAATTGAAGAATTAATTAACAAATTACATAAGCTTTGGGAAACTAAAGGAGATGTTTATTTGATGGGCTGTACTAATGTAGGAAAGTCTACAATGTTTAATACTCTTTTACAATCTGACTATTGTAAAACAACAGCTGTAGAACTTATACAAAGAGCAACTACTTCTCCTTGGCCTGGTACAACTCTCAATTTATTAAAAGTAATATGTTCTTAATATATTAAATACAATTAAACTTATATCAATTTTATTTGCATGAGTTCTGTTTTAATTTTTGTATTTAATCATTTTTGTAGTTTCCTATTTTAAGATCATCACATTGGAGGTTGTTTCTAAGAACTCAGCGTTTAATGCGTGAAAACAAAGAACGTGTATTAGAACGAAAACTAGAAAAAGATCAGAGGAGAATGTTAAATATGACAATTAATAATATCCCTACAATAATTGGTAAGATATTATGAAAAAAAAAAAGTAATAATTTTTAGTTTTAAAACTTAATATATTTAAAAATATTTAAAGTTATATTATAATAAACCGTAGTTATATAGATTCTATACAAAAATATTAACCTAAACAGTATTTATTTTCAAAGCTGTATCTAATGTGTAATTATTTCAATTGTTAAAATGTAATGTTTTGTCAACATTGTTTTCTAAAATTATGTGTTTAAATAAGTATATTGTATAGACAATGTTGTTTATTCATAAAAAATTTAATTAATTTAATCGTATTTTTTATTAGGTCACCTTGGTCAAACATTTTATAAACCAAAAGGTGCCAGTGAAAGTGATAAGTTAGATCCATTTTCATCTGTTGCCGTTAAAGTTGATCCAAATCGTATTACTTCTAGTTCATTAGGATTAGATGAAAAAGATCCTAGATTTGTTAACAGCAAATGGTTGTATGATACACCTGGAGTTGTCCATCCTGATCAATCAATTAACTTGTTGACAGCCGAAGAATTGATGTTATCTTTACCATCCTCTGTGTTAAAACCTAGAACGTATAGTTTGAGACCTAAACAAACTTTATTTGTGGGTGGTCTTGGCCGTATAGATTGTTTGACAATTAGTGCAAATTTTGTACGTTTCACAGTTTTTAGTGCCCATACTTTACCAATAACTATTTGTTATACAAGTGATGCAAATGAATTGTATGAAAATCTATTAGGTTCTGACTTATTAGCTGTTCCTTGTGGTTCTCCTGATCGACTAAAAAAATGGCCAGGTTTGCAATGTTTAGAAGAACCATTTAAACTTATTGGAATAAACGAAAAAACTAGTTGTGCGGATATTGTCTTATCATCTGCGGGTATGTTTTATTTATTTTAAATAAAATAAGAAATATTCATTATTAATAAAATTTTATTAAACTAACTTATGTTCTAGGTTGGGTTTCTGTAACACCACATCAAAATGATATTTGCCTCGTACAAGTATGGACTCCAGAGAGAAGGGGTATATTTGTACGAACGCCTTCACTTTTAAAATATGCTGTTAATCAAAGAGGTCCTAGAAAAAAATATACTCCAGCATATCTACCATTAAGGACTAAAGAATAAAATTTTAAATATAATATAATAATTAGTTAATAAACTTAAAAAAGTTTTCATTTAATTTTTCTACTTATTAATTAAATTTAAATTTATCGTTTATAACATCCTCTCTAAAAGCTATTTATAGTCCAATGAGGACAAAAAACCTACCCAGTACATCATAATCAAATCACCATGTCTACACACCAAGACAAAACTCAAAATCAACTGGATTAGGTAAACCGCCTAATATTATAATATACTATGTACAATAATATATATAACTTTATTATAATATAATATGTTTATATTATATTTAAGCTGATGATAAATAAATTAGATTTAATTAATTAAACCTCGAAATAAGATATTAGGGCCTAAATTTGAAGTTTCAAAATTTGATGCACAGACCCCCCAAATTTATTCTACTACATATAAAAGATGAAAAAAATTTAGTCATGATTGATCGACTTAAACTCATGCCACAAAAAGGTTAAATATTTAATTATTTGTCAATATTTATTATTATAAAATAATACAATATAATAAAATAATTGTATAATATTTAAGGTGGGATTGAATACTTTTTTTTTTTTTTAATTGAAACATGTACGTGTAGCGTATACATGCATATATTTATTATGAAAATTTGAATTTAGCTTCACTTTTATTTTAACTAATTAACTGAAAAATGGTAAGTTAATTCAACGGAAAAATAAAATAGTTAAGTCAAGAAGTTTATTAGAAAAATATTTATCTAGTTGAACAGTTAAAAAAAATATTAGCTTATTTACTAGATAATTGCGACCATTGCATATTCAGAATTTATAACCCACTCAATTACTTACAAAATTAATACAATTTAAAAATTTTTTTTTAAATCTAATTTCTAAAAAAAATTAATTTTGTTTTATTAAAATAAAAAATTAATATTATGAAATTATTATCATGTATTTTTTATTATTATAAAAAATATTCAATGAATCATAATTCTGGAACTTATCATAACGTTATGGTAAACCTTAACTAACTTTACGTCTTTTCGCGACGCATTAAATTGAAAGAATTCGATCAATGAGAGTAGTTTTTGCGTTGTTCTTTTTTCACTTATCTAAACAATAAAAAAAATAAAAAACATTTTGAAAATGTGAACAGTTATGTTTTTTTTCCAATATACGGTTTTATTTAAAAAATTTAAATTATTATGGATTTGAAAGTCTGTAGACATATCATCCATCATATTTTTTAGTAAAAAAAAATGCTATAAATGTTGAAAAAATTAATAAATAAATTGAAGGGCTTGCTGCAACAACCAGATAAATACACTTTTTGAAAATTTTCAGGACAATATAAATTTTGATTAAAAACTATTATTTGTACTAAAATAGTGTCAACAAAGTGTATTTGAATTCTACACTCATTTTTACATACATATTTGAAGTTAGATTTAAAAAAAAATATATTAATATTGAAATATTGTTAGTCAAAGTTGAAGGGAGCATGGATTTATCTGGTTGTTGCACTGAAAAAAATTTTATTTTTTATTAGTATTCAAATGAAGTCAATTTTATTCTTAAATGTATTTGGATTTTTAATGCTATGATTATATATAAATACTAAATAACAACTTAAGTTTCTAAAAATGACAGATAAATACAGATTTATCTGGTTGTTGCAGCAAATTACAAAACAAGATAAGTCCATTTCATTAATAACTCCATCACTATTGATCGGATTTAACTAGTTGTTGCGTCTGAATTTCAAGAATAATTTCTTTTATAAATTTCCGTAAAAAAGTGAATTTATCTGGTTGTTTCTGCAAGCCCTTTAATTGTATATATATTTATTTGTATTAGTAATGAATAATAAGAGATTATGCTTTAAACGTAGACTAAGAAGACAATTATTTTAAAAATAAATTTCAACAATATGATAATTTTATCAACATTCTTATTAGCGTTGTCAGTTAGATTGGAATCATCCAACATTGATTTGAAAAGTGTTGTTTAATATACCAGACAAATGATCAATTTTTATTTTGTTCTGAAATGATTTAATGATTGAAGCACACGTCTTTATTAAATAAATATTTGAAGAGTGTATTAAATTAGTTCCTCTTTCTTTTTTTGTTTCTACTAGAAAAATGTCAAATAAGATATATTCGAAACTACTTTTGTGTTAACAATATAATTAGTAAAAAGCCAATTAGGTATATTTTTACCCCGTATATTTTGAATTTTTTTACTTAATTAAGAAGAAGTTTATTTTAATTTAATCACGAAAAAAAATCGCAGTGAACTTGTTTCATTTATAGACGATTATTCGTAATTTTTTTTATAGTTAACAAATAGACGAGTTATGAAAACCTGATTGTGGAAGTGCACAATGTGTTGTAGCCCAAAAAATCATTGTTGTATCCTACCAATCATTTACTTTTTTATTTTGTAAGCTAGTTAAGTATGTGTTGTCATTTAAAAAAATGTAATTGACTGGTTTCTGAATTACTTATAATAACACTCGAAAACATGATTTTTGTATTTCTATATTATTATATATTCATTATAATATAATTTTATTATAATGAGTTTTTTTATATTGATTAAACTATGTATGTTATTTGTCTTAAAAATTATAATGGGTGAGTAACGGTGTACAATAATTATTCATTAATATTCAATGAATAATATATGTACTCACAACAGTATGCCTTACTGCCATATATAATAATTGCTGCGTATCTGCGAATATCGACGTCATTAAAAACAATTAGTTACCTGTATTTGTAATCCATCGTGTATTATATATGTATATTAACTCAAAAATTAAAAATTTTATATCTAATAAACGAATAAAATTATATTAAAAATTCAAATACCAAATACTATTAAGTTAAAAACTAAAACATTTTATTAAATGCATAATATGCGTTTCCATTAAAAATAAAACTAAGTTGACACCCTTACAAGGCAAACAAAGTTTTTTTTTACCAACATATGTTTCTTGATTAATCGGATAAAAGTTATTTTTTAGATTCATTTATTATAATTTAAAGGGGTGTCGACTTTATTTTTTTAATGTCTACATACATATTAACTATTTTATAAAATAGGAAATAGTCTAATTTAAAAAAAATGACCAGTCGATAACAATTTTTGAACCAGTATTTCAGTAGTTATTCACAATTTAAAGTAATGACTAAAGGTGCTGCTATTTTTATCACTATTCATTATAAGACCGTGTACTTCTAAAATAAGAATAACTTCCTAATTACTATTCCAAAAGATGTTATCTACCAATGTAGTTATTTAACAAGATTACTTTTTTTATTTTATAAGCTAGTTAAGTATGTGTTGCCATTTAAAAAATGTAATCGACTATTTTCCGTATTACTTATAAAAAAACTTGAAATCAAGATTTTTTTATAATTCCTTTTCATAAAATTATTTTGGTCATAATTCATTTTAATCTAAATTTTATGAATAGAATATATTTTATCAATCTTTTTTTATTTTTCTAAGTTATCTTGTGAAATTTTTAAGTTCGAAGTATTACATTAAGAGATAGACATATTTGTTAAATAATTTTTATTCTCTATATTATTTAAAATTTATTTTTCAAAATTCAAAGATTTATATGTTTTTATATATTTTAATAATTGTTATTTTAGTTAAATTATTTATGTAACATTTTACATGGCGTATTGATACGCATCAATCCATCATATTTTTTTGTAAGAATAATGCTATAAATTTTGAAATTTTAAAAAATTAACAAATAAATATATATTTTATTAATAGTAATAAATAATAAAAGAATATGCTTTCAACGTAGTCTAATTGTGTACCTTAGAGGGAAATAAATCAAAGTACGTCAAAATAACATATATATAATTAAATTCTTCTTAGAAATAAGAATTTAATGATACTAAAATGTTATAATTAAAAAAAAAATTATAGATTTCGTTTCCGAATTACTTATAATAACACTCGAAATCATGATTTTGTTGTATTTCTATATTATTATATATTCATTATAATAACATTTTATTATAATGAGTGAATACTGGTGTACAATAATTATTCATTAGTTATTAATAATAACGTAAAAATAACGTTGAATAGCTTTTTTATATTGATTAAAATAGATATTACTTATAAAGTGGATTTACTAATGAAACCTCCTTGTATCTTATATTTCTATTGATTTGTTATAGTGACTTTACATGAATTAAATAAAAAATTAGAGATGTGGTATTTTCAAATGACTGAAAATGTGTTTTTTATACATATGTTCAAAGATAGGCAAGTTAAGTTAAATATGAACAATGACAATGAATTACTAGTTAAAAGTTTATTACATTATTTAAAAGATTGACATATTTATTAAATAATTTTCATTCTCTAGATCTTCTTCTTCTTTTTCCCTGCCTTAATCCCAACTACTTGGGGTCGGCCACCCTTATCCTAAACTTCCACTTGACACGATCTCCCACATTATCTACGCTCACATCAGCTATCCTCAAATTGCATTCAATAGCATAAATGCTATTGAATAAAGAATTTCATTCTCTAGATGATTTAAAATTTTATTTTTCAAAATTCAAAGATTTATGTTTTATATATTATAATAATTATTATATTAGTTAAATTATTTGTGTATTGTAATAATTTATTTATAAAAGGGTGTTAAATCCGTCAAAATAAATAAAATTAATAAATATTTATAGTGTGGCAAGGATTTTGACATCAAATAATCAAGAATATTTTTTATAATTAAATGAAATATTTTTTGTAAGGTGACATACGTGTCAAAATATTTTTAATGGCAAATTACTATTAAAAATAATTATTATTATTTTTATATTTGACGAAAATAATTATTAAGTTGAATATTTTCGTATCGAGAACGTAATCAACTGACACGGCCACGGCGTTGTCACACGTTTGACACCCCGCGGTCGTGTCAGCTCCTTTTCAGCCTCCGCTCCACTGTAAACCGGACCGTTACACACACACGCGTTATTCTCGTGGTGTAAAGTCCAATAAATGCCCAGTGTCGAATATCCGCCGCAATAATAAGTCG